TGGTGGTTGTCTAACTTTGTGAATATACTAAAAATCATTAAAATAATGGATTGTATGGTATGTGAATTTGATCTCAGTAAAGCTGTTCCATAAGTAAATAAATAAACAAAATAAAGCAAGCGAATCCAAGAGCAGAAAATAGCACTCGGCAGAGGTAATTGCACATCAAGTGATTGCCAGAGCAGGGCTGGGCTGGCTTCGGAAGAATGGCGAGATGGAGCTCAGTCAGGGTGCCTGACACCTCCCTTTGAATTCAGGCTCTGCCTCAGAGTAGCCATATGACCCTGGGCAGCCTCTCTGACTTTCTGTTTTAGCTTCTGTGATAGGAGGACAATACAATTTGGCCTCCAGTACTATTGTGAGAATTAAGAACTATATATTTAAAGTGCCCGGCACATTGTAGATATTCAAACTGGTAGCGTGCATCATTAGCTATTTTTACAATCGGGCTGTGTTTCAAAAGGTCATTTGCAAGTTCAGTTGCAATGATGAAAACTGTCGATTTTTCAAAGTCTGGATTTGGTTCCTGAGCAAGCACAAAGTGGCCTATTTAACCCTGTCTGTAAGGGGCTTTTTACAGGAATGCCTTAGGATGAATTTTGGAACCTGGGAGCTGCTGCTTTAAGCATTGAGGGCAAGAAGTGGAAAAGAATAAAAGTGTTTCCTATTATTTTCTCAGCTTAAACAGTTTGTTAGTTTTTTAAAAACACAATTATGAAAGTTGCACATTTTCTTTTTAGAAACTTTGAAAATTCTAGCACTCTGTATAAGGAAAACCAAAAATAATCTGTGATTCTATCATTCAATGTCATTCCAGTATTTTCTGGTTGAAATAAGTTTTAGCAAAATGAGAACCATACTACATGTACTAATTACTGAGAATTTTCCATTTATCAGGGTATCACTAGCATTCTTGGACATTATGATTTTTAATGACTATATTATATCATGTTATTAAATATACCATATTTGATTTAACTCACATAGTATTGTTGGAAATATTGGTAGTTGTAAACTTTTGCTATTATAAATAATGATGCCATGAACTCTCTTCACCATAAATCTTGGCTGTAGCTCTGTTACTATTTCAGGAGTAATTCTTCAGAATAAAATTTATGACAAATGAGGTATGACATTTTTATGGTCTTTGACACT